TGAACCTAAAAGTGACACCTCTCAAGTAAACTAAAATTCTTACATGTACTTGCTTGTTCTCCAAAATGTAGTGAGTAATGATACAAAATAATAATAAAAGGACAGATGTAACCTACCAACTAACTAGAAATACCCAAGACCTACTTTCTGTTAACCTCGGCATTGATTCGATGTTTTTCTTCAATAAGCAGACACGAGGTTGTATTATAGAATTTATTAGGGTGCAATAGCTGACGTTTCGGCGCTTTCGCCTTCTTTAGAGCCTGGAAAGGTCAAATTGAGATGCGATCTAGTCAGCCAAACACTTTCATAACTCCAGCAGGTAAAACTTGCCAAAAAAATTTGTATTCGCATAAGAAACGCCTTCATATGAACATCTACCGTTTATTTGCTGTAAGTATCTAAGTTAGTTGGTAGATTGGTGGAGTTGCGATAACTGTGTCTGTGTCAGGTCGTTGGATTAGCCTGAGGTATTGCGCCTGGTCCAAATGAACTGCAAGGAGGAGTGTCTTGTCATCACGCGTGACCTGGCGCCACACCTCAGACTAATCCAATGACTTGACACAGACACAGTTATCGCCCATATGTTACTCTGTGAGGCTGCTATCCATCAACTAACTTAAATACTTGTAACAAATAAACGGAAGATGTTCAAATGAAGGCGTTTCTTATGCTAATACAAATTTATTTGTTAATGTTCGTATTTTTGTTGAGCAAACGCGAGGTGTTATTATTCCTTATTCACGAATAAGCTGACGTTTCGGCGGATTTCGCCTTCCTCAGAGCCTGGAAAGGTCAAGTTGATAGCAATCTACTCGGCCAGACGCCTCCATAACCAAGCAAAGAAACTCCAATCCAAGATTTCAATCCCATTGAACACAGCTTTGCACACTCACCGCTTTCTATGAGGTTTCCACTAAGTATGTCACGTAGAGACCAACCGCACAGAAATCACATGGAAGTATAATGTGCCCCTCATATCAGAAAAGCAGTTTTATATACTGCCCTATATCACGCGTGATAATGAGACATTCTTCCCTGCGGTTCATTTTCGGATTTCTGGAATTAATCCAGAGTGCCTCGAGAGTTTTTCGTGCCTGTGTTCTTGATTCGCGTGCGAGGATCGTGACACATACTTCAAAGTCGTCCCCGTTATGTCTCTGGGTCCTATGCTTGCCTAGCGGGGTATTTGGTCTATTTTTGCCGGCTAGGTGTTCTTTCATGTGGACACAGAGGGGTCTACCCGTTTCGCCAATGTATTCGTCACCACACGTCTTACAGGAGATCAGATAAACTATACCCGAGCTCATGCAATCACCGTCTCTACCACTGGGGCAAATTATGCAATTTTGAGTTGCACATAGACGGCCATATAGGCGGTTACGAACTAGCTGGCGCTTAAGATTACTCGGTGGTATTTCAACTACGCTCACCGAATTCTCTAAGCCCGCCCTTCTTAAGCAGCGCTTTATAGCTTTACTTATATCATTTGAGATGAAGGGTAGGATAAACGGGACCCTTCTATAGCTAGAGTTGTCATTTGGAGGCCTACGATTTCCTCAACACCTATTCTGAGCTACAGCTTCGTAGCCATTAGAAACGGCTATTTGCCGTGCCAAGTTCCGGGACTCCTCTCTCTGCTCTCTTCCCGTGCACACGTTGGTTGCTGTTCGAAACATGTTTCTTATAAGCGCCCTTCTCGTGTGAGAGGGGTGAGAGGAGAGGTAATGAACCAAGATGTTTTTACTACTTGGCTTTCGGTAGCACTTCGCAATGTAGCCATTTTTTGATAGGTGAATTTGTACGTTCAAAAATGGAAGCCATTTTTCTTTCGGCTTTTCTCGGGTGAACTTGATATACTCTGACTGTGCGTTTAACAATTCGAAGCATTTGTCCATTTCCTCTTGTGTTGAGCAAAGGACAAAGCAGTCGTCTACATACCTACAGTAGAGTAATGGCCCGAGATCAGTCACCGGTGCTTCCCCCCCTTTATTTGTTAAGTTTTATCTGCTAGGGTTATGAAAGTGTTTGGCTGAGTAGATCGCATCTCAATTTGACCTTTCCAGGCACTGAAGAAGGGAAAAGCGCCGAAACGTCAGCTATTGTATGCTAATAAATTCTTTAATAACAACATCGTGTCTGCTTATTGAAGAAAAATATCGGACTTACTAGAAATAGCTAGTGATCGTGGTTTTATATGACCATTCTTTAATTGGTTTTTTAGGGCTGGCATTATTCTAAATGGAAAAATACTATGATATGTGAAACACAGGAAGTACATCGGTTGGTAGTAACAACAGAACAAATGCATACCTACTTGAACACGGCTGCCAATCTTTACAAGTTGTGCAGGTCCTAGCAGATTTGGCACTTATTTTCCTCCCTCGAATTCGCCGTCCGTACTGGTGGTCTGCTTCGATGACGGGTACGTGTGAGAACGTCAGCCCTCGATTTGTGAAGTACATTCAGGTGACTGATGCTAATTTTAAACATGTCCTACCTTGAGAATGTTCTCCTAGAGGACTCTTGAATCTTCTTGGGGCCCATTCTGGTATTCTTGTCCATCAATCGTCGTGTTTTCTCATTTCACAACCAGCCCATCTGTTTTGTTTTCAAAACATGTTCTAGTGAATCTTGAACTATAAGAGGGAGATTCATCTGACACAAGGGATTTTGCAGAGATCTTGCAACCGGAAATGAAGACAGAACGCAAACCTGCAAGAAGAAATTCGTGGTGCCACAGCACATAACGATTTAGTAATGTTTTTAAAAGTGACGGGAGGAAGACGTACACCAACATTGCAGACAATGTCTAAGCACCAAACCAATCTGTCGAAATTCTGTGATCTCACAGTCTCAACTCTTAAAGATACTGATATTGATGCTCACAATGATGCTCATCGCCTCATCGTGGCTGGGAGTGTATTCGCCGAGGAATTAAATAACTGACTCATTCTGTCCTGTAAGGACACTGTATGTCCATGGCCGTTTGGATCAAATGACCGCATGTACACTGTGGTGTTCACATTCACTTTAGTGGGTCCCAGAATTTTTTTTTGCCATACTATGTATATTCATTCGATAGCTAATCGAAAACAGGTCAAAATGGGAGGGTGAGATCGGAAAAACCACACTCTAAACTTGATATTTTATAGAAAAAACCATTTTTCGAAAAAGTTCATTGATGGATAAATCGATTAACAGTTTACCGTTATTCTATTTTAATTGTTACCATTAATGTATAGAACGCGGAAATATGAGAATACCTAAACAAACTCAGCATAAATAGTAAAAGACTTGCAAATGGCTCTTCCACAATCTTGTCACGTTCGAAACCCCTCAAATACTCTAGTTATTGAGAAAATATTTTATTACCAAAAAAACTAAAAAGTCCGAGACGGAAAAATTGTTTGTATTTGTTTAGCTAGCCATGAAAAGCGTCGTGAAGATTTGCAGCAGATACAAAAAATGTTCTGCTGATATCTCTGTATCAAGTATGAGCATGAAAACCCCCTATTGAGAGATCTGAAAAGGGAGAAAAAATGAAGCGAAGCGAACTTGACCGATCAGGACTACTACAATTTATTGATGTCACCTGCATCACCTGTGGTCTCAATGATCATCGAGCAACTCGAGCGGGCGCCAGTAAAACTTCCAATTTTCTCTGTCGCGTACAAGAGTGACTCAGTGGGCTAACTTCGCTCTTAGAACTCGTTGAGCGTCATGTCCTTCATCCAGGCTTTTCGTGAAGGACTCTGACCATCGGGTCGGTGGTTCTGCAGCACGTTCGACATCCCGAGGAATCCAATCACTAACAGCCCTTGTCCATCGGTTGCCGCCTATATGCATTACTTGTCCTGCCCACCTTATCGTCGACAGTTTTTCGTATAGAATTGCATCTTTGATTTTTTACCGTTGACGCAGGTCGGAGCTTCGGATCCCTTCTTCCTCTTATGAGACATGGGATACTCCTAGCGTCATCGTTTCGGCTACGCCTTCAAAACCTCTGAGTGATCTTTCATCCAGCATATGCATCGAAGAAGTTTCTGGCGCATACGCTAAAGCAAGAAAAATGGTGGAGTCGAAAATGTGGGCAGGGAGTCAGATGTTCCTAGTTCGCTTCACCACATCATCGATGCTCTTGAAAGCTCTCTAAGGCCCTCGTTTCCTTCTGCTCAACTATGGAGGTAAGTCGTTCATCATGTTGCTTTCATGACATCGATAGGCGTAACTGGAACATTCGAAGGTACTCATTCCATTCAGCGTGAATGGGTATACGTAACCATTCCATTCATCGTGAACATCGCTTTTCTGAGGTTTAGTCAAAGACCAATTTTTCCTTTTTTTGGTGAGCCTGGGACTCGACGACTGATCCCGCGTATACAGCAGGGCGCCACCAACCGCTACAAGCGACCCCGCCACAGAAACTTATTAGGTGAAATAGAGTCACAGGGATGTTAAGATATAAGCAAAGCGTGGAACCCGAGAAAGCCCTTTCCATAGGCCATAAGTGTTATTCTCTCAGAAAGTTTCCTACTCTCACGGTGTTTTCACCAATCAGCTATTTCTTTTTACTGTTTTCCGCGACAAGGTTTTCATAGGCGGCTCGCAGGCCTGCTCTGGGGCATAGAAACACTTACTATTTGCTGGGCTTATAGCTGAATGTTTCGAATGCTGTTTGGTTTACACGACCTAACGGCCGGGTCGTGTAAACTACTTCTTTAAAGCAGCCTTATAAGTAGGTCCATCCCTTTTCGATATTACTAGACGAACCATTGATGCGGTCGAGATGGTATTTCAAGTTAATGTACGGCAAGTAAATATGCATTCTTCGGAATTCATGACTGAGGTGGGACTTAGGAGAGGATAAAATTGGGTATCTAGAAAATGACTGCGTTCACACTAAAGGTGAAATTTAGTTGATTCGGCCTCTTTAAAAGTATCTTTCATGTCCGTACAATGGTTAAAATCTATCCAATATATTTTCAGTTTTAGTTTGCATGATGGACTGTCAAGATAAGGAACAGAATGAAATGGCGGAGGCACTTAAATCGAGTTATAGACAGAAGAGCCGCAGTCAGCCAACTGGTCTGAATCGTGTGAAAAGCCTTACCAGAAAATTGTCTGCAAAATCAAGGTTTGCGCAGTAATCCACAATCAAGAATCAGACGAATTTTAAACCTTAGAGCATCAAGCACAAAGTGGAGAGAATGGCGAAAGTGATAACAATCAGATTAGTTCAAATTTCAATCTTTGCTGGCGAAACAGAATTCTTCTCATCTTTCTACAAAACAATCAGGTTTCGATGATATCAGAACGGCTACGAGAAGAATAGAAGGATACAATATCAGATCACCCATTTATGACGCACAAGTGAACTATAGCTTCCGATTGACACATAACTCTTACGACGACTGAGGTTACATCAAGCGTTTTTGGTTTTTTTATGCCAAAATTCGAAGACAGAAAATAGGAAGACTTGCCTTCAGTATGGAACTTTCTCAACCGGTAGTCGATCAACACGAATAAAATTAATTCGCACCTTTCGAGTGATGTCCTTGCCATTTATGCGCCCCTATGACCGTTTCATTTCCCAAATTAAAACACCATTTTCCCTTCTATGAAAATTCTGCTATCATGAGATTTAAATTTCTGACGTGGAAGTACTCAATGACTATTCAAATTTTTATTTGAAGGGAACATGAACGTTTATAAGCGAAAAAAACGACGCCTTTGTTTTCGAAATTGCGATAACGGAAGGACGATGAAATCAGCTGAAATAATGCAGACAAAACACAATTAATTTATTTATATGTTCATATGGACTGGTCCTGTTGAGCTGATGCGAGGTTGGTACAATTTATCGTTGTTGTTGTAGTTGTTGAGGCGCCATCCACATCGGCACGGCTCTGAGGAAGGCGAAATCACTGAAATGTCAGCCATCGACCAAGAACAACAACAACAACGACTACAACAACAACAGTTACAACGACTACAACAGCAACGACAACTCTACCAACCTCGCATCAGCTCAGAAAGATCAGTCCATAAGAACATATAAATAATACATGAATTATTGCTGCCAAGCATTAAAGAAAGTTGGTCTTTCGAGTTTTTCAAAAAATCAGCTTACTTTGGCGTTAGGGGTTAAAAAACGGAACATAAAAGATGAATGGAAAAAGTAAGTTGAACGCGCGCGTTTGCCTGATTCATGCTGTCTGCGTCGCGTTGTCATGGATAGTGGCATATCATTGGTGGTGGTAAACAACCTCCTTCTCATTTTAAAAGGTTCGTAGTGGATTGTAGGAAATCTCTGTGTGAACCTATGGTTTCCCGCATCTGTGATCACTTTATAACATGGCTGTTGACGCTAAGGTTCAACGATTTTGTGCTAACAGGCGTAGGCCTCTTTTCCTTACTTCTTTTCCCTATGATTCGTAAACTTTCGAGGAAGCATTGGTTGTTGCGACAATCTGTGGTGACAGTGTGTTTGTAGATCGCAGTGATTTTCTCTGTTAAGAAACCATGAATATACCGATAGAAGTCGTTTCAGAAAGGAAAGGATAAGAGACAGAGGAAGTGAGAATCAAGTTGGAAACATGTCCACCCCAACTTCCGATGCATCGAAAGTTCCCGAGATGAAACCGCAGATCAAGATAGGACATTACATCCTTAGGGATACGCTTGGTGTTGGAACTTTTGGCAAAGTAAAAGGTGAACTTGTAACGTAACCTAGATGAACTGTGTGTGAATGCTTTTTATCTCTCGCCTAATCACAATTTTCATTCTTTCGTTGGAGTGTACTCTGTGTGTGGCTTAGGTTTAATTTCCCTTCTTTCGTGTGTTTCGTAGTACTTTTTCTTTTCATTTCAGTTGGTATCCATGAGGCCACTGGGTATAAGGTGGCGGTGAAGATTCTCAACCGGCAAAAGATCAAAACCTTAGATGTTGTTGGAAAAATTAGGAGAGAAATCCAAAACCTTTCTCTGTTTCGTCATCCACACATTATTCGACTGTAAGACATGTTTTCTTTTTCGAATGTCGCCAATTTTTCATGGATGTGTGTCCTCTTAGGGTGCCATTTGCACCATGTCCTGTCTTACATTGTTTGACATTTGTTGACAGGTTTTCAGTTACCAGGTGATCAGTACTCCAACCGACATCTTTATGATAATGGAATACGTATCAGGTGGTGAGCTGTTCGACTACATTGTCAAGCATGGTCGCGTAAGTTTCCATCGCCCTTCCAAGTTTTGACGCCACTGGTGGTTCATTGCAAATCGAGAAACTTTAGCTTAAGACGCCAGAAGCTCGACGATTTTTCCAACAAATCATTTCCGGAGTTGACTACTGTCACAGGCATATGGTTGTGCACAGAGACTTGAAGCCTGAGAATCTTCTTCTCGATGAGCATAATAATGTAAAAATAGCAGACTTCGGTTTGTCTTCTTCGTGTTTTTAATCGTTTCTCTCTTGCAGTGTTCTTTTCTGACCTAATTGTAGCACAAATTTTCAAGGGTTGTCAAATATCATGACCGATGGAGACTTTCTTCGAACGAGTTGCGGATCGCCCAATTATGCTGCGCCAGAAGTGATTAGTGGAAAGTCAGCTTTTTTCCAACTGTAGTATAACTCTGTTTAGCAATATATCAACATTATTCTCTTGTAGACTTTATGCTGGTCCCGAGGTGGACGTGTGGTCTTGTGGTGTAATATTATACGCTCTCTTGTGTGGTACTCTTCCATTCGATGACGAACATGTTCCAACATTGTTCAGAAAAATCAAGTGTTTGTTTTATTTCTGTATTCGTTCACTCACGCTTTCCCTTGTCCCGTCATCTGAGTTTTGAACAGTAATTACGAGATGTTATACCGATGAGTTTCCAGTTGAATAGTTTTTTTTATTTGTATCATTCGTGCGTTTGTGTTTTAGTGGAAGATTGAAGTTTCTTATTTTAGCTGGTGTTTTTCCTATACCTGATTATTTGGACAAGCCGCTTGTCAGTTTGCTGCTTCATATGCTGATGGTTGATCCAATGAAAAGGGCTACAATTAAAGATGTTATGTATGTCATTCAATTTTGTTTCTCGTAGATACAGGTTTTGTGACTGTGGGATTTATTTCTTGAAAGTGATCTTTCAGTGCTCACGAATGGTTCCAAAAAGATCTTCCTGCTTACCTCTTTCCTCCCGTCAACGAGTCGGAGGCCTCTATAGTCGATATTGAAGCAGTCCGTGAAGTTACCGAGGTATCGTTTAGGTTGAAGATTATGCTTTTAGTTATGGTCGTTTCTCTTACCATTGTTCCATGCACACATATTATTTGACAACCTAGGAGTTTCTGGTTGCAGACCAACTTTATTGTAAAACATTTTATTTTACTGACTCCTTCACTTCATAAATCCTTCCTAATCTTTCCATCCACTGTGTTTTGACATCCATGTTAAAGTTTTTAGTTATTTGACTTCTATGAGCAGGTGTGTTCAGCTTGTAGTCTTTATCATCTTTTACTTACGTGAATACTTGGACTACCCGGCCTCACTGATTGTGCGGGCCCCTGCATAATCTCAATTTTTCAGAGTTTTGCTGGTTTAATCATTGTGTTTCCCTGAAATCCCGAGGTCAGCCTAACCAAAGTCTGCCTCAGGTCGTCACACCACAGGCAGTCGCAGTCCTGTATCAGAGGGACATCATGAAGCTAGTTTGTTACCAAGACGGTGGTCGATCGTGGTATTGGTTTACTCCTAGCTAGGCTTCCTTATGGAGAAAGGGAACTCCTTCTCAGCTTGAGGGACTATGCCTAGGAATGAATCCTTTCGCTGTGCATCGCAGCACGACACCCAAGAACACCCAGCCACGTAGAGGCGGTAAACCGTTGGAAGGCATCATCTTTTAAGTAATAGAATTTTCGTTGATGGAAACCTTTTTGGTAAAACTTGGTTCAAATCCAAAATTATTTTTAATATGCACTAGTATTGTTCAATTTTTGCAAGGACAGATCGCACTAACTCTTCATTATGTTCTATAAGTGTTCTTGGCAAGAATTAACAGTTGTGCTCTCGAGAGCTACTTGCGGAGCGAATTTACTGCTACATATTCGACATTTGTGAGCTGAATCCCAATAAGGAAAATGTTAGCCGTGGGAAATTATCTAAAAGGCACGGATTTTTGTTGAACGGAGTAGTAATATGGCAAAATTGATAATTTCCATGGTAAGGGTAGGATCTAGGTGGAAACCAACTTAATCCAGAGGCGGATAATTTTTTATTCACAAAAGTGAAATGAGTAATTTTTGAGCATTAAGGCATACAACTCCCTTCAACGTGAAATTCATAACTTAAAAGGTGTACTTTCCAATGTCACAGGCACTTCCACATAGCCCTGTACTCTTGAAAAAGTGGTGTATTAGACTACTTATGTCACAAGAAAGAAGAAGATGAATGGGTAGCGGACGGCATTCTTTTTCCTGCACCGTCTATTTTTGTTTACTTAACGATTTTTAGCTACATTTAAGATTGTAGCGATGTCTTTTACCAATACTTTTTCTTCTTACGAAAGTTCAGCAGTAAAAGGGAAATAAGGTTAATAGTTTTGATTATGAAAGTGGTACAAATTCCACGAATTCAAAGAATACTTCTGCTGTTCTATGGAGACTTAGACAAATTTAGAGGAATTTATTAAGACTTAGCTCTTTTTTTATCCTTACAAAATGTGAGAATAGGATGGATAGAAGCGGAAAACTGTTTCTTTACTACACACTTGTCGTTCGCACCATGATTTGCATGCGTTTACATCTGCGTTTATGTAAACGCTAATAAATGAAATTCTTCGTTTTATTCATCACTAATCACAAAATACTGTTCTATAGAGACAGATGCGGTTCTAATTAGTAAGACAAGTAGAATTTTTATTCGTATGTGCTGCTCGAGTCCGTATGCAGTGGTAATAAAAATTATAGCGTTACAATGTACCTGAAGAAGAGGTCACTGCCGCGCTTCTCGGGGATGATCCGCATCACCATCTATCAATCGCATACAATCTCATCGTTGACAACAAAAGGATAGCTGATGAAAGTGAGTGCTATTCCGTTATATTTTCTGTGCTTTGGAATTTCTACGTTGGTTTCAAAGTCTGAAAATATTATTCCCGTATATCTGAATGGTATGGCTGCTGTGCATTACGATCTTAGATCTTTACGAAAAGTATTTGCCCATTTTTTGCTACATGTGTTGTTTTATAACAATAGAAAGCGATACCTACTTATATTTGATACTTGGACCCGGTTTAGCTATCGTGTTTCTCTGAAGTTCCGAGGATGGCGTGACCAAAGTTTGCTCAAGGTGGTCACCACCTCAGGCAGTGGAAGCCCTGGTGGATCAGAGGGCGATTTGCCACCATGCGACTACTTTGATAGGTTTATTCCTAGGTAGGTTTCCTAATGGAAAAACTGGACTCCTCAGTCTGGGAGACCCTGCCGGTGGGATGATTACCTCCGCTGAACATCGCAACCCGATACCCAGGAACACCTCCAAACCACGGTGGAGTGGCAAGCCGTTGGTATGGAAAAGTAGATTCGGTGAAAAAAAAGCACCACTATCAAATTCTTAATGGAATGAGGAAAATATAGGTTCCGGTCAACAGTAGGAACTTCTGTATCCTATGCCCTTAGGCAAAACCGCCATTAGGGATTCCGTTGGTTCACTCCCACATTTTATTAGAATTTTTATTTTTTTTAATTTTATTTGACCCGTCTTCACGTCTGCTGTGCCGATTCCGGCACTTCTTACATTCAATTCGTTTTCTCGCATCCATTGTCCACAAAGATCTTGTAACTTTTTACGTCTGGCTTCGGCTGCTGCTTGAGGATTTTCATTTCATGTTGAATGTCGTAGAATGCTCGTAGAGCAATTCTCCGTGGAGTCCTGAGATAGCGGGGTTGCAGTGTTCCCAATTGGCTTGCAAAGTGTTTTTTTTCCTAGATAAGTCCTGTACCAATTTTCCGACCCCGGAGGGATAAGAGGCCTGGTTGGCCCAGAGCGGAATCGAACTAGCACCATAGTCGTCATGACGGGCATCACTACCACTGTGCTATTTGCCTTTTAGTTTTACTGGAATATCGTAACCAAATCGTTCTGTAGATTTCGTTACTTTTGTGAGCTCCAGTATTGCAGCGGCCAAATTAACCATTGAGGAATTCTATCAAGTTACACCAAACAAGCACCACCATTCTGATCTACACCGCCATCCTGAGCGAATTTCAGGTAAATTTCCACCTAGAAATCGAATCAATATCTCACGCAGTATAGAAAGTTTCTGTAAGGAATTTTTTGCTAGTTGGCCGTATAATATGCCTTGTTGAAAGCAATAGACTAAGTTAATAATGGGATGTATAGTCACAGTTGTTTATGACTTTTTGCTGATAATTTTTTGATGACTAGGTCAGTGCATTTTGAGGTAAGTGTAATTAACATTCATTTGGTGGTTTGGTCAAATCTGGGTACGTTTTAAATCGTTTTGCTTTTATGCAATACATTGTGCTGTATTTAGCTGCTGTAAGTAGTAAGATCACGCCAACCTTGGAAAACTCTACCAGTACTGAAGTGTCGTTTAATGGCACTCCTCCATCACAAACAAGTGGTTACAGACCTGGTGTGAAACGGGCGAAGTGGCATCTTGGAATCAGATCGCAAAGCCGACCAGGTGCGGACATTGTGCACCTAGATACTAGTGGTTCGACCTAGTCGCAAATTTAGCTGCTGTATCCTTAGTTGGATTTACATAGTTGTTTCAAATGTAATACATGATTGCTAGAATTTTGTAGGAAATGCTCGATATTTTTTATTAACCGGTTATTTTTCGGATTAATTTCTTTGGAATCAATTATCAGGCATAAGATTTTCCTTTCTATAGGGCATAACTGAAAGCTTATATTCCTGTTTTAATGCTTGATACCACTGATTATATTTATTTTGGTGGCATTTCTATCATTTTCACTTGAAGATTCATATTTTAGAAGACATAATGTATGAAGTTTTCCGTGCAATGAAAAGCTTGGATATGGAGTGGAAAGTACTGAATCCGTATCACGTAATTGCTCGGAAGAGACCCGACAATCCGATTTCCGACCCCGTGGGTGATGGTTTTCGTATTCGTAATAATATATCAACATTACTGTTAAATAGCCAAGTAGTTCTGTTGACAGAGAAACAGGAATATCTTAACGTAAAAGTTCCCAGGGTCAACTTTCTTTTAACCTCGGCATTGGAATATGAATGCGTGGTTTTCTTATTCAGCATTCGCGAGGTTGTTAAACAGCATACATTTACTTCCATAGAAAAACAATACAATACAGCAGTACCTGACGTTTCGGCAGTATCACCTTGAGAGCCAGTAAACTTTTGCTAAATCGACACCTTCCTTTATTGTGGAACACTTTTTCTTTAATCATGTTAGTCGCGTTGCTCTCGGATTCATCATTTCAAATGTATCTGATGACATAGTCTTAGGCCTTTAGTTCACTCGTGTAGGTGGTCTCATCATGTTACTTTTTCAACGACTTGGCATCCAATGTGGATTTAGTTATAGGGCAAATGAGTGAGGGAAGGGAAGGTACCAAGGAAAGAAAGGAATATGTATAAGTTGATAATTGTGTTGGAGTTTTTCTTTTTGTATGAAATAAAGTCGTAGCGCAGGTCTCTGTCGGGAGTTACTTACTAGCTGTGTATATTTTTCGTGGTGAAAATAGTGCTGTTTTATAATAGTAGAACCTACACATTTATTTCCGTCCAAACTTACTAGTCATTTTTTTTGTTTTGATAGCCATCATTTTGCAGTGTTCTCGGACAGATGTGCATAAAAATATTTCCCTTTGTAGGGATGAATATGATCTGTTATCTTCCACCGTTTTTTGTTTACACAGTGAATTTGTTTCAGCCTAAAATGTCACTGCAGCTCTATCAGGTGGACCAGCGTAGCTACTTGCTAGATTTCAAGAGTCTTGTGGATGACGATAGCACCCGTTCGTTTCTTTTTCAATTTTAATTTTACTGGAAGAATGGTGTCTTTTCTCCTACTTATTACACATCTGTACAGTGTTCTCTTATTTATGTTCATTCATATGAAAGAATATTTTTTTTGTAACACATTTCTTCTTAGCTGGTAGTGCTTGTTCATCCCGTCATGCATCAATGTCAATGCCATCGAAGCCTCCTGGAATGCGCTGTTCTCGTGCTCAAAGTATAACAATGGATGTTGGTTTTAAACTTTTACATATCATTTATTTATGAAGCAGCTGTTGGTACAAGCTTCAGCTTACTGTATTTTTTTTCGAGAAGCAGCAGTCAAGCTTTCTTCCAGATGGAGCTATCACCTCCTCCTTCTCCATCGGGTTCGAAACTCTCGCAAACAATGCAGTTTTTCGAAATGTGTGCCTCACTTATTGGGACACTTGCACGATGACTTCAGTACACGTTTTTCTTTTGTACGGGGAAGCTACAGCTTATCATAGAATGTTTCCTCTCAGGAGCGCATTGCTTTTTAGACAGAACTTTTAACAGTTTACATTCAACAACATGAAACTTTCTATGCTTGTTTCATTATAGAAGCTTTCAGTTAGGAACGCCTACTTTCCACACATGTAAATGTTAGTGTTACAATTGTTTAAGCAAAGTTGAGTGATTGTTTTCAGTTGTTATTGTCAATTCAAAGCCATTAGTCCTTCTTCCTCTCATAACATGGGTCTTGTTTCCTCGTATTTCAAGACCAATGGAGCATCGAAAATTATGTTTGTGTAGGAAGGTATAGTGTATTAGTACTGTACATATGTAGCTCCATCGTCTGAGAAATTCAGACCCTATATTTATGAAGTACTCGTAAATAGATTGTATCTTTTGTTTCAACTCTATCTTTCTCATCTATTTCAACTACCCATTTAATAAAATAGTGTACAGTTGGCTACAGAAGGGATTGTGTGAAATGGTTGTTGTGCGCAAAGTCTCCGCTCCATTTTCATAGTTTACAATGTTTTGTTCCTCTGTTGTCCATGTATTCAATAAAGATGTACAGAGATCTGTTGTACTTAGTAAATCAATTGGGAACACGCAAGACTGTATATCTGTTCATTATCCTAGTGGAAATTTTTGGACGTGGATTTACAGTTCTAGCCGTTTCAGGTCTGTTCGTGAAGTTTCCGAAGGATTCAACGTTCTGTTTTCCTGTTTACATCAATGAATAGTTTTGCCCTACTTTTGATGCAAGCAATTGTTTTGATAACTTGAAGTCCTCTTTACGTCCAAAATGATATAAGGCTCGCATAACATAGTGGAGTATGCAGAACGTCGGTCAAAATGGGTACACATTGGAAGGACAAACCATTTATACCTTACTTTCTACTGCTAAGCCTAATAGCACTACTTAATGTTGAGATCCGTGGTTACATGTATTATTGATCGTCCCTCCACCAACTCACCTGAGAAGGTTTTGCAGAATTGTTTTGAAATGGGACTTTTGTGGTTAAATGGCTCTACTGATACTGATAAGTTTGTTGCAAACAACGGCAATTTGGGATGCGTTAAATGTTCCAACGAGGAAGTTTTATGTTTTGGTTAGTTTCTATTGTTATGAGCGGGGCAATCAAGTTTTTTGCCATCTTATGTTAACGTGGCGATTCGATGTGTTCATGTTTGGCTTAGAATTAAACAGTGAGAAGTCGCTATACTGTGAGGAATGTTTCCTTAAGACGTTAAAATGGAAGTTTAGGTCTGCTCTCAGTAGACGGAAGGTCTTTAAGGTTGGTTGTTAGCTTTTTTGTTTTTCGTTTTCTTTTTATAGGATGCGTTCACTATTTAGGATAACGCTTCACGGAGAGTTGTGGTTGTTTTAGACGGGTCACGAGAGTCTGCGTTCCTTTTCCGACAGATTGAGTACGCCATGAAACAAAAGTCTCAAAAACAATTACTCATGGAGCCTTATGTACGCTTTCTGCATTTATTTACTTGAACGTATATTGGTTAAAAAGGTGTATTATAGTTTATTTTAATGCTGTATTCTATGGATGCCTCAGAAATCAAGGTCTTACAAAAGAACCTGTGTATTCTCCGACAAGTTTTATCATCAACCTACTTTGTTGTCCACTTGGCTGCTGTATTTGGAGAACTTCGTGTAGACGACGACAGTACATGTCAAGGCCTTGAACACGTAAGCCATTCAACAGAGTTTCATATTCCTGGTTATAATTGGAAGTTAAGTCTGAAAGTAGAGTTTTAAGCTCCCAAAGCTTATCGAATTGTCGAAGTCATTCCGAACGACCTCTATGCGTGAAGAAATGATGCGGATTCTCAAAGTGCGACTGCTTCTGGAATTTTCACGGTGCATCGGTATATCGAAGGTGAATCTTCAGTTAATATAGGCAAACCTTTGAGATCAAGTGGTAAAGTTTTTAATATCAACCTTGATCATGGAACAATGTTTAACGGACAGTTGTTATCGCAGGTCATGACGTCATGTAATAGTGATGTGTTAGGCCGACTCATGCTGAATCAGTTATGTCTTGGCCGTGGTAAATATTTACTACTTTGCTTTTTCGAAATGTGTTATTATGCACTATCTGCTGCAATAAGGGCTATTTGTTGAGAGCGTTTGATATGAATACTTTCAGGTGGAAGGGTGTCAAAAATGACAGACGTGGTTGAAAAGACTGTGCGAGGAACAACGTTCATTCGTCCACTGAGGGATTTCAGCTCACAAGAAATCCTGACCGCGTTGCGTTTAGAAAAAGTCGAGCATTATGTGTTATCTCCTTGCTTCGAGGTGAGACCTGACGTTTTACTCAGGGTGTTGGATTGGTCAAAGGCATTTATTTCCGAGTAACTCTGCACTAACGGGTGATTTCATTTAGGAGAGATGAACATTATATGTTTTCACGAGTCAAACTAATGTCAGTCTTCGCACTTGGTTCTTGATCGAGATAAAAAGTAAAATTTTAAAGTCGGACGTGGGAGTAACATTTTAACGATCCAGTTTTTCAACAAGTGCTATGCTCACAGATATGGCGAAACCTTTTGAAGAGAATAAACTTTGTAGCTTTGTCATTTCCAAAAATCTCGAATGTTTAATCACTTCGCTGCTTAAGATGCGAGGCAGAGAAGGATCTAAACTTCATCTAGTTTTATTTCAATTAATGAAATTTTCCGGGATCACATATGTTTGTTTAAAGTTTAAAGACCATTTTGTTTTTGACCGCATATGCATTAAAATTGATACATATTGTGACGGCAATGGGCGAGTGTGGCGCAGTAGTCGGAGACACTCTGCAATACACTTAGAATCGATTTCCGTTTCCTTAACCCACCAAGGCTCCAGGCTCACTAAGTCTTCCATCCCTCCGGGGTCGGCAAATTAATATCAGACTTCTCTGGGAGTATAGCAGCACTGGCTCGATACATCGGTAGGCCATCGCGAGTCATTATAAAGGCCAGAGATACTTTCAATCACCTCCAACTATGCTTAATGAAGTCGAATGCATGGCGTATCCATAAGGGATTGACCAACATCGGGAGCTTTATTCTTTGTCCTTTATTGTGGCGAATTTGTTTGCAGTTTGAACAGGATGGATCTGGAATGGAAATTCTTTTCCCTTAAGATCTCATGCGTCCTATAATGGTTCTTCGTAACCTTCTTCTATTAATGAGTAAGCGATTAGCAATTTTAGCAAACACTGTGACAAGCCCTTACTGATTTTCTGTGTAATAAATTTATTCGTTGTAGTCGTTATTTTATCACAGTGTCATTAACGATAACTTCTAATCATCCCTTTCTTCGACTAGAATAGTTTTACATCTCCTCGTATTCCTTCAACTCCTTTTTCCATATTCGTCTGTTTGGTTTCGAATAATTGCAATTGTATCCTGTGCAGAATGTTTGCATGCCAGCCAACCCTATTGGGATTTGCAAGTAATTCGTAGGCTTATTTAAAAGTTTTCGAGAGTAGAAAAAGAGGGAAAGTATAAGGAATAGAAGGCTTTTCGACTAGAAATGTTAGCTTTCCTCTTTGCAAAGTATGATTGACAAAGTAATAATGAATAATCTTGGACATTTTTCAGCCCTTGATTTCACCACTATATTATGCATATGAGGCGTCCACCGAAGGATCAATACAACGAAGTACCGCTGCATTCTTGAATCGTTTAGTAAAGAAGGGTTTCAAGGTATCAGCTACCACAATGTTTATGTTATAGAGTTTCGCGTAAATATTTTTCGGGAGACACAAATTCTCTAATCCTCGGAAGGAATAGTTGAAGAATTACGAGTCACCAAGATGTTTTTCTTGGATACGGGCATGAAACTAACTGATACAGACTGAAACAGACGTGCGCACTATTTTCAGGACACGATTCCAACACTTTTGAGCGTTGCCAATAAAATCCACATCAGCGACGGCACTACGATGTGTGCTGTATGTGAATATTCATTCTCAGGAAACGGCCAGCTATGTTATACTTGTTCAGCGATCATAAATGAACTGCCTTTTCCAAACATAGTTCATATCTACTCTAATCAATGAGTATACTTTCTACTCATGGACATGAGGAGCAGTGCTTTTATTTGGATCCCTTAATTTCTTTGGTTGATTTATACAGAAACTTCTGTAATGTGAAGTAATCACACTTAGCTACGTGTGTTACGTAGTAATTACAGACTAGGATGCTATGCAGCTCTATCCCTATTAAAAGTAGGCATTATATTAATGGTCAGTTTTATTTTATTAACTAAGCCACACCGTGGAACACTTATATTTAAATCGAAACTAATCTTTCAAGCAGTAGCAGTTCGGCTTATACTCACCACTGTGATTTGTTAACAAGTGAAAACAGATATTCCGTGGTTTAAGGTGGTTACGTAGTCGCGGTTACCAAATCTTAATGGAAGGTAGTGACGTTTTTTAACACCCTCCTAATTTCACGTTTTTGTCGAGTAGACGACGCCTAATTGTTCGCTTCGCTCATTGGCCACTCCGGCAGTTTTCATGCAAACCTGCCCCTTTTCTTGTGATTTCCGTTTTACAAATCAGTTTTTCTGTGTTCATTCTGAAAGCATTTCTGAGCATGTCTTATCCTGTGAATGTTCCATGTTATTTTACGCTCTCTCACATATTACTCACAACCTTTCTATACGAAGAAAAATATTCGTCCACTGTGCAGTCATGCTGCCATAAGCATTTAACGAAGTTGTGTAAGTTTTGCAAGGAATGTTTAGATGTTTACCCCTTACTTTTAACATTTTCTCTTTCGAAGCAATCCCTAGAAGTCATCATAGCGATTGGGAATGAGGAAACAACGAGTTGCTCATTAAAAATGGTGCTGCACACGGCATCCGTTGCCAGTTTCTCGAGGCAGAGGCATTTTTGCGCCTTCTAATTGGCTACACTCCCTAGACAGCACACTCTCTCAACAACAATAGTC